CAGTTTCATTGAGTAAAATTCCCAACAGGAAATTGTTTTATTGAAATCTTGATATGTATGCCTTTTGTATCCACATACTAAAAGAAAGCACAGCCATGATCAATATAATATTGTCCATGGTGGAATCACAAGCCAGACACTGTGAGTAGAGTATCACCTTCTTCATTTCACAGAACTAGATTTTCTCAGCCTACACTGCACCAACAAAGCAAAAGTAGCGCAGGAAGATTGAAGAACTTGTCCTGGATCACAAGCAGATGAAAAACAGTTGAACCAAATTCAACTGCAGAGCCTACAACCTTAATGACCCACTGAGCAAACTTCTCAAGAGTCAGCTTCATTAGGAAGGGCTCCCCAAAGGTCTGTACTGCTTGCTGACCATGTCCTTTGAGAAAGCCCCCATATTCCTATTCTTGCACCAGTTCTGAGCCTAGGGTGACCTAGTTGAACCCTTCCATGGCAGAGAAAAAGAGCACAAGAAACTTCCCCCAAGGGCACAGAGAAGGGTTCCCACCTACCCAGGATATGGGATGGGCTTTATTCAGACCTGAGAGGTGAGAAGTACCTACTGGAGGATAAAAGGAGATAGTGGGGTGGGAATGGGAAAAGGGAGGATAGCACATGAGTAAGGGGTGGAGAGTAGGTCACATGGAACAGATCACTCAGGATTTAGTTGACAGGTTAGAACTTAGGTGGCTTCTCCATCAAATGAGGAACCCATCTCACCAGCAGCAAAGAATCTCTGGGTCTCCTGGTAGTCAGAGCCATGTCCTAGGCAGCCATCCTTGTGCCTCTGTGCCTCAAGACGCCACACTGGGGCCAGAGCGACAGTACAGTGGATAGGGCATTTGCCTTACACGTGGCCGACCCGAGTTCAATCCCCAGCATACCGTATGGTCCCCCAAGCATCACCAGGAGTAATTCCTGAGCTCAGAGGCAGGAGTAACCTCTGAGCATCACTGGGTATGACCAAAAAAAAAAAGATGCCACACTGGAAACAGCAAATGCAAATTTGGAAGGGATCTGGGCTAGTTAGGCTGATTTTCTCACTCTCCAGATAGCACTAAAGTGGGTTGAGTGCTTTCCCAGAACTGCCAGTGCTCTGCCCAGCACCACCAGGTGACAATTGCATTGTGGAGAGAAGAAAATGGTAATACAAAGTGAAACCACCTCCCTGGAAGGGCACTGAGACCGGAAGGTGCTTCTGCACATGACCCGAATGAATGAATGACAGCTATTTCCCACAGCAAAGGACTTCCTTGAAAGTCACCCAGATAAATTGTTGAGTTGTTGTTATTATGAAAGAAATGAGAAAGAAAGATCCAGATGTTCTAGACTTCCCTTTATAAATATGATCCAGTGTGGTATGCCACAAACCCTCCTTCACACAGAGTATAACCAGAGAGTAGAGGCAACTAAGAGACAGTAATGGATATAAGGGAGGAGGTATGTTTGTTGAGGCTGCTGTCTAAGTGAGAGAGACTGCTGCTGCTGCTGAAGTCCTGATCATCTGTTACTACTACTGCTGATTCCATCAAAAAGCCTACAGAGAAATGCCTATGTATGCTATAAATAGGAATATGTGCACTAAACAGCTGGTGGACTGTGTATGATTCTGACTCAGATGGCCTGCATGCTATTCTTATTCACCACCTACAAGAATCTGAAGTTAGTCAGATCCTCAGCAACACTGTGACTTAGCTAATACTCTGGAAAATGAATATCATACAGCCACACTGGTGCAAATTTCTTTTAAGGATATGTAATCATAAATTATTAAGATAATATAGCAGATGTAAAACTTGCAATATACAATAAAGGGAGAAAAGATATACAATTGAGCCTCTGCCTTAAGTACAACTAGGAAGAAATTGCGCAGATGGGGGGATGAGACTAAAAGAATAGTATACACTTTTCACACACTCACTTACCGTGGACAAGCTCTGTATGAAGCTCTTGACAAAGGTTATCCCATTCAATCCCAGGAGGAATATAACCCCAGGATATAGATGTTGCTTAAGAATTTAAACACAGGTATTTCTAATCCAGAATCTGTCACTGTTACTGCCACTGTCCTCCCATTGTTTGATTTGCTCAAGCGGGTCCAGTAACGTCTCCATTGTGAGACTTGTTTTTACTGTGTTTGGCATATCAAATACATCACGGGTAGCTTGCCAGGCTTTGCCGAATCCAGAATCTACTCTCACCTGTTGATTTGACCATGTGGCAGGAATGGGAGTAATTTTCTTTGTTGCTACTTGTGTATTAAACACTAAGTTATTTTAACACTTAGTGTTAAGTGGGAGGTATGGGAGAAATGTTAAATTCTTTGCCTTGCATGTGGATGACCCCAGTCCAATGCCTACTACTGCAACATGGTTCCCAAGCGCCACCAGGAGGGATTCTGGGGCAAGAATCAGGAATGATCAGGAGCACAGTCAGGAATGGCTCCCAAACAAAAATAATATTACTGCAAAAACAGTAGCACTGTAGCACTGTCCTCCCGTTGTTTATCAATTTGCTCGAGTGGACACCAGTGACATCTCCATCGTGAGACTTGTTGTTACTGTTTTTGGCATATTGAATACACCACTGGGAACTTGCCAGGCTCTGTCATATGGGCGGGACTCTCAGTAGCTTTCCCTGCTCTCCGAGAGAGCTGGAGCAATAGCACAGCGGGTAGGGCATTTGCCTTGCATGCGGCTGACCCGGGTTCGATTCCTCCATCCCTCTTGCTGCTGCTGCTGCTGCTACTACTACTACTATTATCAATCAATCAATCCAGGAGCTCAAACTGTACAAGACAGACTCCCAGGTTTGATTCCCAGTACCACATAGAAAGGTGCTCCTATGTATTTCGATGTATGACCAAAAAAATAATTAAAAGCTTAAAATATCCCCCAACGATTAGTCTGGAAACAAATTTCAAACACGTTGCTCACCATCAAGTAAGATTCTTCTGGGCCCCTACTGAGCCAATATCACCGGGGCACCCCAACTGGAGCAGGTGCAGTCTCCCCACCTACTCCAGATGGAATCCCAGTGTGGTCAGAGCTTTCACAAGCAAGGTCCAGGTATGTGGGTTCAGGACTAAATCTCTGGACTGCATGGCAGCAGAAGACCCAGGCTGTCCCTCCCCAGGTCACCACCCGCCCAGAAGACTGGCAGTCACACCCATAATTTGCCTCCGAATGCCATCTTAGCACACGAAGAGCCCTGGCCCAGAAACTCCCAATTGAATCCCAAAATGGATTAGCGCCATACAGAAATGTCTCTGGAACCCAACCATTTACAATCTAGAAATTTACATTTACAATCGCGGCCATGTGCGCTCTCATGATATTCAAAATGAACTATGGAAAATGTATTATCTAGCAGCTGCCCCTGGCAGGTAGGCTTGAATGGTGGTGGGGAAATTCGAGCAAAATTAATGCCCCAAATGAGAGAGAGAAATACTCTGTCATAGAGGCGGGGTGAGGACTGTGGTTTTTATGTGTGTGAGGGAGGGCGATACTTGGGACTTTGGTGGTGGAAAATGTGCACTGGTGGAGGGATGGGTGTTCCATCGTTGTATGGCTGAATCTCAAACATGAAAGCTTCGTAACTCTCACGGTGATGCAATAAATTCAATCAGCTTAATCAATGTCTGAACAAACAGCAGTACTTGTACATTATTAAGAAAAGAAAGAAGAAAGAGAAATAAGGAAAGAAAGAGAGAAAGAAAGAAAGAAAGAGAGAGAGAGAGAAAGAAAGAAAGAAAGAAAGAAAGAAAGAAAGAAAGAAAGAAAGAAAGGAAGGAAGGAAGGAAGGAAGGAAGAAAGGAAGAAAGAAAGAAAGGAAGGAAGGAAGGAAGGAAGGGAAAACAAACTCAGAATTTCTTCCACCAGGTGGCGCTATGGGAGCTCAGGAGCAGCCCCCTTAGACTCTCTAAGGTCTGCAGCTGAGCTCCCTCCCTGAGGACCGCTGCACAGGGCTGCCCTGTAGTACTGCTGCCTCCAGCCCTTCCTAGTGTCACTGATATCTCCAACCCCCGCCCCCCGCCCCGGGCCGACCACAGGTGGTCTCGAAAGCCCCTCCAACCTGTGAGCCAGATACTTCCCTCTCATGGCCTAGCTCCACGCCCCCACAGAGTAACCCAGCCCACCCTGCTCTGTAGACCTCCCACCAGAGTCTAAGTGCTGGCCCCCTTGGCATTATCCTGCCCTCTTCATTTCACCCAGGAGAAAAGGTGCAGAGAAACAAGGGTCAGGGGATTCTGAAAGGGTCTCCCCATCCTGGGCTCTCTTGTGGCAGTGTCTTAAGTCAATAGTCACCTGACAACCTCTTTCCTCAGGGAAGGACTTGAGGGGGCCCACAGAAATGTTTGCTTCCCTTCTCGTGAGTAAGATGGGTACAGAGATGCAGCCCAACTCTGAAGTGAATCTGAACCCCAAAGCCCCCAAACAGGAGAGGCCTTACTGGGGTGCAGGGGTGTGAGAGCTCCTGCTGTGCAGGCATGGGCCAGAGTTCCAGCCCTTGTGCTGTCTACACAGCAAATGTGATCTTGGCAGCACTACCACTGTGCTCCCATCCACACCACATCACTCTGTGTGTTCTCCCACTTGTTATGACCTGGTGTGTGCGGGCACCAAAGGCAAGAGAATGCAGCTAGTGGGCCCCGGCAACACCAAGTGAGCGAAAAGGGAAGGAGAATTCGGCCTTAATGAAGGTTGTTAACACTAAATGACCTTGCTATAGAATAACAGCCTTGCGCCGCAGTCTCTGCCTAAGCAGGCAGGGAATCCCAGCTGAGAGACTGTGTGGGCCCCCTGGAATAAGGGCTCGGCTCGCTAGTGAGTCAGATGATTTAATGAGAATCTGTGCTTTCACTCGGATTAGCAGACAGCATCGGGGTGAATGCCGCCAGCCCACAGCCCGTGCTCATCCCCGTCCCTCAGCGGGATGGACTTCCGCATGTGCGTGCACAACACCTCGTCGATGTAGATGGTGTTCTCTTTCACCTGGATCTCCTCCTGCAGGGCCAGCTGTCTGCGGTTCAGCCCTTTCAGCTCCATCTGAGCTTTGGCCAATGTTTCCTTCAATCTGGAAGAGAAGGAACAGAAGGAGGGATTCTCCATCCACATCACCTTTTTGGTATACGCATGTGACAGTGCGTGCACACACTCAGCACAGAAGGACATTCTGATATGTCCTCCTCCTCCTCTGTCCTTTAGATCTCAGGTTGGTGGCCACTGACCAGATGCACAAGACGGATCGCCTCATGGACTGCCTAAACTGAAACGTGTAGATTTACCCACATATCTAAATTTGAGCTTCTTTCAATGAGTTTAAACATCAGTGTCCACTTCCCAGTTGGCTGGAATGAGTGAAAACTTCCCTCTCAAGAGGGTCCTCCTCAAACCTCTAGACAAGCTGCCCATCCCCCTTCCCAACCTCCAGGTCTAGGGAACCCCAAGTCCACCAGCCCAACAGGCAGCCTACCTTGCAACATTGGTGGTAATATCATTAATCTCCTTTATCAGCCTATATTGAGCAACATCTCGGCACAGCTCCACATTTGGCCGCCGTGTCCTGTTCTCCAGGCGAGTATGAGCCAGTTTGGCAGGCCCTTCTTGGTCAAGAATGGCTTTTTCAAGAGTTGCAATGTTTTTTTCCTGGGACGCAATCTCTTCCATGACCTTACAAAATGGGAGTCGAGTCAGTGAGACCAGGCTGTGCTCCCCAAAAACCTAACAGGACTCTCTCAGGAAGTCTGTTACGACCATGTAAGTGAGGAGGATGGGAGTCTCAGGTTCCTGCTGAGGAGCTCCGCCCAGGCAGGACCTCACAATGAGTGTGATCTCTGTTCCCTAAGGCACTGATTCCTAGTGGGCAAGACCGTGGCCCCATTCTTAGAACCTCACAAATGGAGTGGACAGACCCATCCATTGTTGCCTCATTTCCTTCCCCAATACTGTTAATTCCCTGGAGCAAGCCCTTAGTCAGGGGAGGAGTCTGCCTGCTCACCTGGTCAGAGGGTCCCTGTATCGTGTGTGGGAATCTGCTTTATATACCCACTCAACCTGAGTCTCCTTGATCTCTTCAACACCAGATTTGTGCACAGAAAAGATCACGCAGATGATACTTTGGTTTTCAAATTAATATATAAGTAGACTGGGGTGCACAGTGGGACTATCCAACATTGTTTGGGAACCAGGGGTAACTTTTATTTATTTTTTAAAATTTTTTGTCTTATATTTATTTATTGAATCACTGTGGGAAAAGTTACTAAGCTTTCAGGTTTAAGTCTCGGTCATACAATGATCAAACACCTTTCCCTTCACCAGTACTCACATTTCACCACCAAGAATCCCAATATACCCCCCTCCCACCCCACCCAATGCCTGTGAGGCAGATGATTTCTGCTTAACTCTTCTCTACATTGATTACACTCATCATTTCAACATAAGATGCACCATTATTGTTTAGAATTCCCCCCCCCCCCCAACAATCAGAATTGCTGAAAAGGCATTGTGAAATACTTTGTTTTCTATAGCTGGTTATGAGAATCATATAATGTTGTATGGCCGCTATTTCGGCCACGCAACTTTGGGTTTCTGCAAAGAGCCAGATAATTTAGAGATTGTTTTCTGTGTGTCTGGTGTTATGGCTGTGCCGGAGAGTTGCTCGTGGGGGGTAATTCAGGACCTCGGTAGGGCGTGAAGGACGAGCCGGTACTGCCTCCCTTCCCATGAGACTGCAGTTGCCCCATCACCACTGGCTCATACCTGGCTTTCCTATAAGCCACCTTGCCCCCGGGGGGGGGGGGGTAACGCTTGGTCCATTCACTTTTCTGCCCCAAGCTGCTGGGTTCTGGATTAAGTCCTTTTGTCTCTGGAGCCACGGCTGTGCCGGAGAGCCGCTTGTGGGAGGCAACTCGTGACCTCGGTACAGCATGAAGGACGAACCAGTACCACCCCTCTTCCAGGGGTAACTTTTAGCAATATTAACTAGCTTTAAAATCTGTTTTTTTCCCTAAGTTAAACAACAACTGCACCATGGAAATTTCCAAATAAAAAGAAGATAAATAATCACTTTAATAATCAATGACTGATCAATCTTGTTTCATGTATAACTTCTCTTAACCCTTATTTGAAGAAAATACAAAATATTATGTCAATTCAGCCTTAAATATTTAATTATATATTTATTTTTGAAAGGGGAGAGTTTGGATCCACACCTGGCAGTACTTGGGGCTTAGTCTTGGCGCTGTGCTCTATGCCCACTGATGTCAGTGGGCCCCACAGAGTGGCTCATGTGAAGTGAGGAGGAGAAAAATGGTCACTTTCTCCCGATCTGCCTCTGCCACTGGGTTCTTGTCTTGCTTCCCAGAAAGGAATTTCAGGAGTAGACAAGCAGTGAAATTACAGTTTTTATTTGGAGGTTTTGAAGGGAAGGAGGGGGAGAAAAAGTGGGAGAGAGTAGAGAGTAACGTGCTCAAGAGAAGACCAGGGCTTCTCCGAGGGTGGAGAGAGCCCTTACACACATTCCAGCATTAGACATGAAATCATGAAAGTACATATCTCAAGAGGTGAGATGTGGGTGACACATGTGCTCAGCCACCGCATGTGCTCTGCCACATAGGCAGGAGCAGCAAATGGGCAGCATATGCTCGCCCTTCCTTTGGTCAAGGTGGCCTTTATAGGGTTTCTTCCAACCTGCCCCCATGTGGGGCTTCTACCTAGGTCAAAGTCCATTGCTAGGGAGGTTACCAAGGGGGTTGGGAGTGGTGATGGTCTTTGAAATTCCTCTCCTGACTTTTGTTTCTGCAGGAGCTTCTGTTGGAGGGGGTTGGTCCAACCTCCTCAGGGTCTGTTACAGACTGGCACCAATTCTCTAAGAGTTCAGGGCTAATATTTTCCCAGGAGATTTACTGCCATTACCTTGGGAAGAGGCCTTCCCTATCTGTCTGCCTACACCAAGGTCACTCCCAGCAGTGTTTGGGGCAACATACGTAGCACTGAGGATTGAGTCCAAGTCATCTGCATGTAAGGAAAGCACCTTACCTGCTGTATTATCTCTTTGGTCCCTTGAGTTATGTGTTTCTAAGACATAAGAACTCTTTTCCTGGGACCAAAGCAACAGTATAGCAGGTAGGGTCATTTACCTTGCCTTGCACGTGGCCGACCCGGGTTCAATCCCCAACATCCCATATGGTCCCCCAGCACCACCAGGAGTAATTCCTGAGTGCAGAACCAGGAGTAACCACTGAGCATTGCTGGATGTAACACAAAAAGTAAAAAAATGAAAAAGAACTCTTTTCCTTTTAACATAACTGTATACTTCTTTTGTTCTCAACTTCAGCACTTATAAAAGAGAGGTGTTTTTAATTATGGAGGTGATGACACCTACACATATGGTCACGGTCCTCCTGTTGTTCATCAATTTGCTCAAGCGGGCCCAGTAACGTCTCCATCATGAGACTTGTTACCGTGTTTGGCATATCGAATACGTCACGGGTAGTTTGCCAGGTTCTGCCGTGCGGGCGAGATACTCTCAGTAGCTTGCCGGGCTCTCCAAGAGGGGTGGAGGAATCGAACTCGGGTCAGCCATGTTGGCCGCTTGTAAGGCAAACGCCCTACTGCTGTGCTAACGCTCCAGCCCACCTACACATATACAGATTAATAAAGCTAATCTCTTGAAATTCCACAAAATTGTAAATCAATGATAAGTTGATTTGAAAAGTCAAAAAACATTTATCTTTTCTTACAGATGTTTTAAAAATTAATATAACTGAACAGAATGCTAATACATACTAAAACTTACATTGTCAAAAATAGACAAATCTTACAAATTCACAATTTAGTACAAGAAGAGAAAAGTTTTAAATATTTAAAGAAAAATCTGAGTAGGTCTATAAAAGAATATTTTATGCTAAAAGGTAATGTTGGTTTTATTTTACAACATATTATCACTGTTACTGTCCTCCCATTGTTCATCGATTTGCTCGAGCGAGCTCAGTAACATTGTGAGACTTGTTACTGTGTTTGGCATATTGAATATGTCATAGGTAGCTTGCCAGGCTTTGCCGTGGGGGTGAGATACTCTCGGTAGCTTGCTGGGCTCTCCAAGAGGGGCAGAGGAATCGAACTCCAGTAGGCCATGTTGGCCGTGCAAGGCAAATGCCCTACCTGCTGTGCTATCGCTCCAGCCCACAATATATTAAACTATATAATAATGTTTAAGTATCTATATTAAGAAAATAATTATATAAATGCAAAAATCACTTGAATAGATATAGAGCATCCAAAATAAATAAAACATTATTTAATTATTTTTATTGGGGGCCACACCTAGTGATACTCAGGGGTTATATATGACTCTGTACTCAGGAATCACTCCTGGTGGTGTTCCAGAAGACCATATAGGATGCTGGGGATCAAACCCAGATCAGTCACATGTAAGACAAGGGTTATACTGGCTATTCTCTCTCTCTGTCCCCTAATTTATTATTTTAAAAGTATAAAACCCATAGCAAACTAGGAATAAGCAGACCTTTCTAAATCTAGTAAAGGACAACCATACGTGTGATGAACAAATGTTATGCTCGATAACAAAGTGATAAGAAGTTTGTCTTGTCTTTTAAAAAGGTCCTTTAATACTTCCTGTAAAACTGTTTCAAAGTTATAAATTACCTAAGCTGTTGCTTGTCCATTTAGCTTTGTATCATTCCTTCAAATCTGAAGGTAAATATAACTTGTTGGATGTTTCTTTCCTTGAGTTGTTTTTACTTTGTTTACTTGTTGTTTTTATTGTGTCTGACCATTCTCTTCTGGCTGTTACAGTCTCTTCTGGCCTGTAGAGTCTCATTTGATAGATCTGCTGTGAATCTTATGGGAGTTCCTTTGTATGAAAGTTCCTTCTTTGATCTTGCTGCTTACAGTATTCTGCCTTGGTCTTTGACTTTTATCATTCTGATTACAAAGTGCTTAGAGTTTTTCTCTTTGAGTCCATTCTCACAGGGACCTTTTGAGTCTACTGGATCTGGGTGCTTGCACTCCTCAAGCTTAGGAAATTTTTCCGATGATTTGTTTGAATAGTGGTTCTTCATTGAATTCATCCTCCTGATCCTCAGAGACTCTGATGACTCATTGTTTCTCTTGAACTCATTCTTCCGTTCTCTGGTGTACTGTTTACTAACTTTAAGATTTTTTCTTTCCATTTTCTGTTGTTTTCTAGAGGTTTCCTGCATCTCATCTTGAAACTCACCAATCTTTCCCTCTTCTGCTGTTGCACAGGCCTTCTATTGAGGGTTTTTTTTTAAATTTTATCTACCATACTTTTCATTTCTTTCACTTCTGATTATTTCCTCAGGCTGCTAAAATCTCAGGGTTGGGACAAATGGAGACATTAGTGGCGCCCGCTCGAGTAAATTGATTAACAACAGGATGACAGTGATACAGTGACATTGAACATGTCTTTAACCTACCACAGCACCAGTTTTCTGATATTTGAAGGGGTGGGTCGGATGGGTGTGGAGGATCAATCACAACAGCTATACTCAGGGCTAACTCCTAGCTCTGTGCTCATCGGCCACTCCTGGCCATGCTCAGAGATTACTCTGGGTAAGGCTCAGAGGACTATATGTGGTCCTGGGAATGGAACCTGGGTGGGTCAGCTACGTACAAGGCAAGTATCTTACCCCTTTACTTTCTCTCCAGCCTAGTTTCCTCATCTTCGGAACAGGGGGTACTGTGATAAACACCCATTTCAGGATTGCCAGGGTATATCAGTCATATCAACAGATATTTACCACACTGCCCAGCACAGTGACTAGCACACAAGACATAAAATCATTTTAAGCCCCACTCAGCAGTGCTCCCAGTGCAATGTTTCGGGGTTGCTCCCAGCAGTGTTCAAGAAACCAGGTGATGCTGAAGATCAAATCAAGGCATGCACTCCAGTCCTTCGAGTCATCCCCCTGGCCCAAATCTGCATTCTTGTTATCACTGCTGCCATTACCAACACGCCTTCAGGTTGAGACTCATCACCACAAAGAAGAGGATCCTGAGCAGCCAACCACATGCAGGTAACCTTCCCCAGTCTATCAAGGCTTGCTCTGAATTGTCTTTCAACTTTAAAAGCTTTCTCCATACTACTGCCACCAAGCCATTCCATACTGGTACAGTTTTTTTCTAGATGCACCTGAAAGGTTTTTCTTTAGCCCCTGTTGCATCTCACCTCATTTGTTTCCGTCCATCATTTCCATCAACCCAGACGCTCTCAGAGGCACTCTCCAGCCCTCAGACAATCAGCTCCAGCTCCCATAGGGACTTTCTCCTACAGCAAGTCGGGGCTGCTCACTGGACTCTACAGGAAACACTCTCTCCTCTAGAGTGGACTCTCCTTTCTACCTTTCTCAGCCACTGCCGGGGTCAGAGATCCCCTGTGCTATAGAACCCGAGCAGCTCTGAATCCCCCTTAAAAGAATCACCAGGAGGGGCTTTGGTTTTGTTTTTCTGAGAGCCAGTTCGCTAGTATACCACTTGCTAACAGGGAGGAACAAGTCAGAATTCCAGCATGGAAATGAAATTTGAAGAGCTTGCCTGCATCCACCCATAGAACGTCAAGTCCCTATAGTCTGCCTCCATATTTCACATGAGGAGGAATTGAGGCCCAAAGTGAGGAGATTCCCTGTTCTTTATAGTAATGAAGGAGACAATGGACACCTAGAGTGAGACTATGACTCACTCGAATCCCCCAAAGTCCAAAGCCTGTGCCAAAGAGGAGAGAAGTCTGGGACCCTGACTCACTTCTCTGCTGTTTTAAGTTCCCAAGATAACACAATCTGATTGTGAGCTTCCCCATCCCTCCAGAGGGCTCACCTTGGCCAGGTGATCAGCCAGCTTGTCCCTAGCATCCTTGACCACCGCCAGCCCATTCTTGAATGCTGTGTCTACCACATCACATTGGTGGCGCAGGTCACCAGCTGTCTGGGACAGGATTCGGTCCACTAGGGACTTGAGTGTCAGGGAGTTGTTCCTTTGCTTGTCAGCTTTCTCCACGTTGGCATTGGAGAACTCCATCCAGTCTTCCAGACTCACAGAGCTAAAACAGAATCAATACATTCATTCATAGCTTACCACAGGGGCAGGGAGAAAGGGCCAGGAATGGAGTATGGGGAGGAAAACATGTTCTTAAAAATCCACTGGAAGCTAAGTTTTCCTCCACTGTCAGAAGCAACTAGAATGTTCCCCACTCTGCAGGTATAGAGCACAGTGCTCTGCTGGTGACAAGAGTCATCACTTTGGGGGGAAACCAGCACACTATGTGTTAGGATTGGACCAGCACTTTTCACACATCTCCTCAGTAGCCCTCATCACAGCCCAGTAAGTGAACTTTATAACCCTCATTTCACAAATGAGGAAAGCAAGGCTCAGAAAGATAAAATAACTTATTCAATATCAAAGACATAAGGGGCAATTCAGTTTTCAAATAACAATTGAAACATATTATAACATACTTAATAAAATAAAAAACATGAGTCCATACTGATATAAACGAATACATTGCTAGGTTCATAAAACTGTTGAATCTTACAAGAACATTAATTAGGGTTCAGTAACTAAGACACATAAGACACATACCAATTAAATAGTACGTGATTTAAGCACAAAATCAGACAAAACAAATACATAGTTAAGAATATGATTACCTTCAGAGAGGAGAGAAGGAACTAATGGGGTTTATTAGTTCATCAGAACACTAGTTATTCTAATGAACTCATGAAGGGAGGACAAGGTGGAAGTTCTCTGGGGGGAGATTTTTTTTTTACTGGCTGGGGATTGTTCAGAGTGTAATTAGAAACTCAGAGTGCGCTCAGAGGTCACTTCTGAAATGGACCCCCAGGACCAACCTTCTGGCCTTTCTGTAATCCCCTCCCTGAGAGATTATAGGTGAACTCAATTAAGCCTTTCTTACATATAGAAACGAAAAGATTTCTGAGATTAGATTAAAAGATGATGTAGCTTATATCTTGGGCTGGCACTCTCTTGCTCCATCCCTCTCTCTCTCTCTCACACACACACATACACATACACACGCACACACACAGAGGCTCACATACACATGCATGCATTCACTTTGGCAGCTGCCAGTCGTGTGAGAGCCCCACAGAAAGGCTCATGTGGCAGGCTGCCATTGCGATACAGGGGAGCTTACAATTAGATCCCACCCCTGTCTTGGACAGGCCTTCAGATAAGACTCAGCCCCAGAAGACAGCTTGACCTTAAAAGACAAGAGTCACATAGCTGAGTAGTGAAGCCTGTAGGAACTGTTAGACAATAAAGGTTTATCATTTAAACTGCTAACTTTGGGGACTGAGCAACAGAACAGCAACTAGGGTGTTCGCCTTGCACATGGCCAACTTGGGCTCAATCTCCCACAGTCTATGTAACACCCTGAGCAGTGCCAGGAGTAATTCCTGAGTGCAGAGCCAGGAGTAACACCTGAACATTGCCAGGTATGCCCCCAGGCTCCCCTCCTCAAAAATAAATTAAAAATTAACTGCTAAGGGGCTGGAGCAATAGCACAGCGGGGAGGGCGTTTGCCTTGCATGCTGCCGACCCGGGTTCGATTCCCAGCATCCCATATGGTCCCCTGAGCACCGCCAGGGGTAATTCCTGAGCGCAGAGCCAGGAGTGACCCCTGTGCATTGCCGGGTGTGACCCCCCCAAAAAAATTAACTGCTAAATTTGGGGCCAGAGAGATAAAATAGGGGGTAGGGTGCCTTGCATGATGCTGACCTGGGTTTGACCCCTGGAACTCCACATGTTCCTCCAAAAACCACCAGGAGTGAACTCAGAGCACAGACTTGGGGGTAAGACCTGCACATAGCAGGGTATGGCAAAAAATTTAAAATAATAATAATAATAATAATAATAATAAATCACAACAAAAGAAACTGCTAAATTTGGAGTAAGCTGTTATAAAGCAAAAGATACAATAGTAATTCATTAAATTGTGTATTTGTTGCTATTTATGTACTATTCTATATATATGATTCAGCTCAAAAAAAGTGAGGATTTTGTATAATTTTAATGTTACCAAAAAGGTACATAACATAGTCCCATTTTTGTAAGCAAGCTTTATTTCATGTATGTGTACACTCATGCTTATAGGACATATAAAAAACCCCTAGTTATTTGGAAAAACATAATGATAGAAAGTGGTAAATAAGGGAAAACTATAGACTCATCCTTTATATGTTTTAATATTGTCATTTAAAATATGAATTATTAGCAGAGTGGACAGAGTGCTTGTCTTGCATGTGACCAATATGGGTTCCATCCCCAGAACACCAAGCACTGTCAAAAATGATCCCTGGGTGCTGAATCTTGAATAAGTCCTGAGCATTGCTGGATGTGGTCCATAAAACAAAAACAAAAAATAAGAGTGGATATTCCTAAAACACAGAAACATCAATTCAAAAGAACTTATCCACACTTAAGTTCATCACAGCATATAGTACAATAGTCAAAATATGGAGACACCAATCATGAACAACTTTGTAACTGTGTATCTCATGGTGATTCAATGTTTTAAATGCTTAAAGATTTTGAAGCAGACTTTCTTAAAATGGACCAAATCTTAGGAGTCACTAGGCCCTATTTCAGGAAAGTCATTGCCTACAAAAGCCATCACCCCAAACTGCATCCCAGCTCCCAGTCTGCTACTAAGATGACATGTTAAGTTCTACTCACACACTGAGAGACACTGGATATTTCTAGGAAGGAAGAAGACAGCATGGCCAGAATGGCAGTCAAGGATACACTCACTTTGGTTCAATTCTCAAAACATTCTCAGAAAATCTGATGTTTGGCGAGTTGTTGTTGAGTGAGAAGCAGATATCATCGATGGTCAGGGCCATATACTTGTCCTTTGCATCCCTTTCAAGACTGTACTTGGCAGATCGGTTCAGTCTAAAGAGAGAAGGTAAATGGGTTTCCCCTTTGGAATATTCGGGGGGCTAGATCTTTGTATCTTCTTGGGAAAGGGGGGAAAGTAAAACTAAGGCTAGGTTTAGAACAGAATGTCAGTCCTTCCTCCCCATCTTTCATCACAACAAAACACACATACACCATTAGATGGCTGGTGGCAAGATCACAAAATGATACATTTTCTGTGTTGTCACTGAGGTATATCATATGAAAAAGGGAAGTCATACCAGAAAATGGCTTCAATGGTCTCCCATTTATAATCAGGGTAAAATTCAGCCCCATCCCCACCCATCAGTAGAAGGCAGCTCACTTATTAGATGTGGTCCAGGTCTCTTTGTGAATGCTTCCAGAGCCACCCAAGGCATGTAAAGTGGGTAGGGCCATGAAGCTCATTCTTTTTTTGCCATGGAGCCTGACATCCATGGGCACTATCTTTTCTAGATCTTTTCTAGTAGAGAACTTCAGGGCTCCCATAGTCACACCTGATCTGTTCAGATGTCTCTTCCAGGGTACGGGTCAGCAGGGCCCTCACCCCCTTAATGATTTCATCTTCCTTTATAAGTTCCTGTTCCACTTCATCATTCACCAAGTCAATGCCAATTCGCTTCTCCCTGCAGAGACAAAGGTTACAAGTCATCCAATGTACATATGAAGGAAGGTAACTCAGTATTTACCAACATCTGAACATGAAGATAACTAGTCTGATCCTAACCCAGTGGTATGGCATGTGAAAGAAAGATGCACATTAATATCAAGGTGGCTTGAAATTATTTTTTCAATGTCAAGAAAAAATTGATCTGTAAACTAGTCATTTGGTCTAAGAAATAGCAAATTTACCGCCTAAAGTTGACAATCTATTCTGAAGTCATTTCTTTTTAACCTATTTATTGGAAGCATGGTTTTTTGACATAATACAGTTTTATGATTAAAGATGAATGTTTCCTTCTTGCAAACATTTCTATTTTTTAACAAAGATTTGAATCCAGGGAGATAATTTCTAAAATTATAATACCAATATTAATGTTACCCGCAGCAGAAAATGGCTTCATTGGCCTCCCATTTATAATCAGAGTAAACTTCAGCTCCATCCCTACCCACCAAAAGAAGGCAGTTCACTTATTAAGAGGAGGTCCAGGTCTCTCTGTGAAAGCTCCAGAACCACTTAGGATATAGAAAGTGTGTAGCACTTACTAAGTGGCAAATTGAATTTATATTTTCTTACTTAACCCTCTTAAGTACCATGAGAAAACTGAGTTTCAGAGAAATTGAGTAATTTAATCAATGTTCCAGAACTAAATATTGCACACGTTTTCAATCACTGTGTGGCGTTACTCCCTAAAGTGATTAGTCACTGCTATATTTTGTTCTTTTCCAAATCACCTTGTGGTGCTTAGGAGGAAAGCTCTGCACTCAACCAGGCCTTAATCATGTTATATAACTTATCTGTACCCTGGTGTGAAATGGGAATAATTACTAGTACTTCATGGGTTGTGGTAAGGGACTCATGAGATATGAGAGCAGATGACACAGTACCTGGCACATAATAGCTCCATTAACTTAGCAATCTACATATTCTCTTCCCTTCAGTGTGAACTTGAGCTAATCGAATATTATCCTCTTTAATGACCCCCACTTTCCTTTACTTCACCTATTCTCTAGCAGCCCGATAGGGTCCTGTCTCAGCTCACTGAAGGAACAGGGGCTTCTAGGGATGTGGCGAGAGTCATGGTATGATGCCTATGGGAAAATACAATAACTTAGCACACTAAAGCACACTATAGGGATAAAATACAGGCTTAGGGGTCAGAATGGATTGGGCATGCAGCCAATCTGGGTTCAACCCCTAGCATTCTATTTGGTCCCCTGAGCCTGCCAGGAGTGATTCCTATGTGTAGAGCCAGGAGTAACCCCTAAGAACTGCTAGGTATGATCCAAATGCATATATAAGCAAACATCATGAGTCTTTGCTGTTGACAAATTTTAACTTTCATCTCAAAAGTTGGGCTGGAGCGCTAGCACAGTGGGTAGGGTGTTTGCCTTGCACGTGGCCAACCCAGGTCCAACTCCTCCGTCCTCTCGGAGAGCCCGGCAACTACCAAGAGTATCCCGCCTGCACGGCAAAGCCTGGCAAGCTCCCTGTGGCATATTCAATATGCCAAAAATATTAACAGCAAGTCTCACAATGGAGATGTTACTGTTGCCTGCTCGAGCAAATTGATGAACAACTGGAGGACAGTGCTACAGTCTATCTCAAAAGTTATTGGGACACTGGGTTATAATAAAAGGATTTTGGGTAAGAAGAGTGTAAAAATCTGCATTTGGAACAATTTACTCAACAAGTAGCGTGGATGATGTGCTGGGCAGAAGGGCGCTATGTGGCAGAAAGCTGTTAGGGCTTGCTAGCTAGGACTGTGACAGGGAATAAGGATGGAAACCTGAAAAATACCAAAGTAGAGAGAACCACTCTACTCAAAGAATTGATAGGAAGAAAACTACAATGCTTCTGCTATGATCACTGGGTTCTAGAGCACTTCTGTGTGGCTCTGTACCAGGGAAAATGTGTCTTTAGTATCTATAGTTTCTGCTCTGCCTGCCCAAAATAAAGACTGCCATTTCCTAATTTCTATTGCTGTGGCCATGTGACTAAGTTCTAGCCAATGGGATGCAAGTAGAAAAGGTGACTTGCAACACTCTGATTATTCCTACTTGCTAGATATAACAACAATAATGGAAGTTTCAGCTGATATCTTGAGTTATAAAGTAGACTTGGGTTAAAAGTCATGTTCCATGAGCAACAAGATAGATAAAGCCTGGAACCCCACACTAGAGTATACCATACCATGCCAACCCCAGACTATCTCCAAATTCCTTATTTATGAGAGAGAAGGAAACTACTTTAAATCAGTGATATTTTTCAGTTCTCTGATTACCCACAGCCAAGTCTAGTTCTAACTTACGTTTGAGTCAAGTAAGTCAAGAACAGAGATTAGACATGAATCAGTCCCCATTTCCTTCTACTGTCCGGCACCATGAGCATGCAGAGACCATTTCATGCTCTAAAAAGAATACATGCTTATTTGTGTCAGTCAAACCTACCATCTGGCAAGTAAACATTTACTACTCAACATTTCATTTCTCACAACAGATAACTAATTCCCTGAGGAACCTTCCCTCCTACCTGTATTCCATGCACTTATGATTGATGTGCATGGGCTCTTTTAAGCTCTCCAGGGCTTTCTCCAATCTGATCTGATATGACAGTAGATCCTCGGTTTCATATGAAAGCTGCTCAAGTTTGTCCTCTAATTCCTTCTTCCAGAATCTGAGTTCCTCAAGTCTCTGTTCTGAAACACAACAGAGACATTATATCAAGATTAAATTTATTTCCAGGATAGCCATGGTTAGAATCAGAAACAAAGATCACTGTAAATCTACCTGAGAAAGTAGGAAGGGGAAGGGAAGGGATGAAGAAGGGACAAAGAAGGAAGGAAAGGGAAGGAGAGGAGAAAGGAGGGCAAAGGAAGGAGGGGAGGGGAGGAGAATAAAGGCACAAGGAAACGTTTTGTGTTTAATTTTATCGTAGGCACTGTGATTTACAATACTACTAATGCCAAGGGTTCATAGATATAATGTTCCAACACCATACCCTCCATCAGAACGTGCTCCCCCCACCACCACCACCGCAATCTAGCAACATCCCACATTCACCACTCTGGTAAACTCAGTTCTGTAAGATCAGTTCCCAAACATAACTCTAAAAAAAGAAGAATAACAAATATTTGGGGCATTTGTTTTCGCCAAATGTTTCTGGCTCTACTATGTGTTTTTTTTATGAAAGAGATCATTAAGTATCTGGACCTGTCCTTTTGACTTCACTTAACATGATACATTATAGATCCTTCCATGTAGTAACAATTGCATGATTTCATCTTTTCCTGCCTACAAGTAGTATTCCATCTGTTCATGGACACTTGGGTTGTTTCTGGATTTGGGATATTTTGAATAGTGCTGCAATAAAAACAGAAGTGCAACTGTCTTTTCTAAATAGAGATTTGGGGCTCTTGGGGTAGATGCTTAGAAGTGGAATTTCTGATTCATACATAAGTTCCATTTTTAGTTTTTTGAGAGGTGTCCATATTGAATTCTTCAAAAGTCCAGTCAACATTCCCATCAGCTGTGGATGAGGGTTCCTTTTCCCCCACAGCCTCACCAACATTAGCTGTTTTCTTTTTTTTAACTCATTTATTTATTTTTCTTTTGGGGGTCATACCCAGCAATGCACAGGGGTTCCTCCTGGCTCGGCACTCAGGAATTATCCCTGCCGGTGCTCGGGGGACCATATGGGATGCTGGGAATTGAACCCAGGTGGGCTGCATGCAAGGCAAACACCCTACCTGCTGCGCTATCGCTCCAGCCCAGCTGTTTTCTTTTTGATGACACTTACCTGTCTCACTGGTGCAAGGTGATATCCCATTGTCTTATATGCATTTCCTTTATGTAAGAAATGCAGGACATTTTTTTCATATACCTACTGACCATCTATATGATTTCATTGAGGAAATTTCTGTTCATCTCATTTTCCTATATTTTGATAAGGTTTATTGTTGGGGTTATTTATTTATTGCAAGGTTCCATCCCAATGGAAAACCAGCAAGACTGTACTACTATACAAGAAAGGAGACATCCACGACATTGGCAACTATCGCCCAATCTGCCTATTGTCTGTCATCTACAAACTATTCACTCGAGTCATCCTGAATAGGATTAGCAGAACACTAGATGAAGGACAACCATGTGAACAAGCCGGATTCCGAAAAGGATTCAGTACCATCGACCATATCCACACAATAACCAAGCTCATTGAGGTATCTCGGGAGTTCAAGATGCCGCTCTGTCTAACGTTCATTGATTTAAAGAAGGCCTTTGATTCTGTTGAGACGGAAGCGGTCATAGAAGCCCTAGCCAATCAGGGTATAGAAACTCAATACATCAGGATCCTTCGTGAGCTCTATTGCGGATTCACTACCAAGATCTCACCATTCTACAAAGAAGTAATCATCCATATCAAGAGAGGGGTTCGGCAGGGTGATACCATTTCACCAAAACTCTTCAGTGCCACCCTCGAGAACATCATGCGACGGCTGGAATGGGAAAACATGGGAGTGAAGATAGATGGTCGGCAACTACACCACCTCCGCTTTGCTGATGACATCGTTCTAATAACACCAAACATCAACCAAGCGGCACAAATGCTGAACGACTTTGACCGTGAATGTGGAAAGGTCGGACTACAGCTGAATCTTGCGAAGACAATGTTTATGAGAAACAGCCTTGTTCCTGACGCTCCATTCGCTCTCAACGGAACCACCATCTCCGAATGCAACAGTTATATATACCTAGGTCGAGAAATCAACATGATGAATGACCTGGCACCTGAGTTGCGCAGGAGGAAGAGAGCGGCTTGGAATGCCTTCAAGAGCATTGAAGAAATAACTAAAAGGACAAAGAACCTCCAGCTACGAGCACATCTCTTTGATTCCACTATTCTTCCTGCATTAACATATGCCTCAGAGACCTGGACCCTACGAAAACAGGATGAGAACACTATTCGGGTCTCTCAAAGAGGAATCGAAAGAACTATGCTTGGAATATCACGATTCACTCAAATGAGAGATAGAATCCGGAGTTCTGATCTTCGTCAACGCTCAAGAATCAGGGACGCGGGCCGTCCCCCACGCCCCACCGAGGTCGCCAGCTGCCCCCCACGAGCGGCTCTCCGGCACGGCCACGACTCCAGGGCACAGAAACCAATCTCTTAACTAGCTAACTTTTAATAGAAATTCTTCCAGGGTCAATAAGTAAAGTAGCAGAAATTCAAAACCGCGCGGACGCTATTGCGGCCGCGCGACATCATTTTATTCTTAAACCAAGTTGTAGAAAGCAAATCATTTCACAACGCTGTTTCAGCATGTCTGATTGGGGGTGGGGGGGGTGTGTCGTAAACTCTAAACAATAATTGTGCATCTTCTATCGAAATAATCTATCTAGTCAAAGTAGATAGAGTATTAACTAGAACTCATCTGCCTCACAAAGAATTGGGAGGGGTGGGAGGTGGGGGTCTATTGGGGTTCGGGGTTAAAAATGAGTATTGGTAAAGGGAAATGTGTTTGGTATCTACATGACTGAGACCTAAACCCGAAAGCTCTGTAACTTTTCCCACAGTGATTCAATAAATAAATTATAAAAAAAAAAAAAAAAAAAAAGAATCAGGGACGCTGTCTCATTTGCCAAGACATCAAAAATCAGATGGGCTGGACACGTAATGAGGTTTACAGACAACCGCTGGACTAGAGCCATTACTGATTGGATTCCACGAGACATCAAAAGATCACGTGGACGCCCACCTATAAGATGGTCAGACTTCTTCGTCAAGACCCTAAATGATCGGTTTGAGGCTCTACATGTTCCTAAAACGAACAGATACCATTGGGCTACGCTAGCACGCAACCGGGATGAACGGAGACGTTACTGGCACCCGCTCGAATAAATCGATGAATAACGGGGATTAAGTGATTAAGTGATTAAGTGATTATTGTTGGGGAATTTCTTCTGTTCAACCTCTTATATTCAAATATATCCAAAGATCATTCCAAATGCTTCTAACTAATTTTTCAATGCCTCTTTTAATAATGTTAAAATTATCAGATATATACATGTATAATTTCAAAAATCAAATATTATAAAGGATTATAAATGTATAAATTCTCTAAGTATACTTTCTGAAAGCAATCACTTCTCAAATACTTTAGTATTTATTCTGGCATTTGCTTATAAATATTATAAATATTATGTTGGATTTCTACGAGGAAGACTAGGGATTCACTCTTTTGTTTTTGTTTTAAGGGCACACCCAGCAATTTTCAGAGCTTATTCCTAGCCCTGCACTCAGGGATTACTCCTGGCAAGGCACAGGGATCATATGTGGTGCCTGGGATTTAACCCAGGTTAGTTGCATTCATGGCAAGCACCAAACCCACTATATTATCTCTCAAGCCCTTGTGCTTACATAATTTATACAACATAATTTTCCCTTTCCATCTTACAAATATAGCTGGACTGCCATTTTATTAAATAATAAATTAATTTCTATTTATATTATAAATATATAAATGTCACACCTGATCAGGCCATATTCTATGATATTTGGGCAACTTTCTGATTTGGGGAGAGCTTATAATTATATATTTTTTGCTTCAGTTTTAGTTTATTTTTCTTAGAACTTTCTAACTAAATGATAAATACCCTCCCAAACTCACTGAGTCATCTGTTGGTTCTGCTTTGTTCCCTGGAGCGTCCCACTCCTTGTAGCTAGGTAGAATACTTTGATGCATGGCTATCATCCCCTGACTCTTCTTTACCATAATTCTAGGAGGTCCCTCTCCCCTTATCAGTGTTGGAATTCTACTTCCTGTATCCCATGTCTTCCTTTTCCTTGACTTACTCTTTAAACATGCTGAAGCACATCCTTCAGGAGCCTCCTGATAAACAGATAGAACTGAGACAAAAAAAAATTTTGAAAGCTGGCTATTTCCAAGAGAATTGCTTTGAGTATTCCAACATGCATCTTTAGTAAACACCTGCATGCATTTTTGTTGCTTAGTACCTTAAAGTGGAATATTAGGTCAAAGTGCTCATATGTTGCATATTAGTACACATTTCCAAAACTTTCTAGATAGGTATGTCAGTTTACACTGCCAAAAGCAGAGCAGGAGAGTTCCAGATGCTTCATGTATTCCCCAATATTTTTGTCATTTTTCTTTTGTTTGCCTCCTCTTCCTTCATTTTAGTAAGTCTTATAAGCATGCAATATCATCTCAATAGTGATTTTTCATTTGCATATCCCTGATGACTATCTATACCTGTGATTTTATATTAGTTATTTTCCCCATGCTTATCCCTGAAACTGTAATACCTCTTTATATGTTTAATGACTGGAGTTCCTCTCGTTAGGTGTCTGTTATGATTTTCACCCATTTTTTTCTATTGGGTTTTCCACCTTTTGCTGCTTTGTTTTTAAAAGATTTTTATTCTGAATATGAATAATTTATGATGTGCGTATATATAATAAATACGTTCTACTCTGTATGTTGCTTTTTCAGTCTTTTAATTATGTTTTTTAGTCTTTTTTATGAAAGAGGGAATTTACTAGAAGAATGCAGAGGTTCAGACAGGAATTCCAGCAACTGCAATGGGTTAATGTCTAGATGCACACCTCTCTCTGAGGGTAATGATGCAATCACCAACTTTTACTGGATTTTGTGAGATCCTGAAGAACATACTACAG